CTACTGCAACAGCAAACTCAGGTATGTGCACTGCTCCCTTGGCTGCCCCCTGGGAAAGAAATTTTCCTGTCACAGCTGAGGAAGGTGCTGCTCAGGCCTAGCTGATCTGGAAGTCACCATAATGCAGTGATTTATGTAGGAGAGGTAACACAGGCCTACTTCTGCCAGTGCCTGGTGCACTTGATGCCATTCTTAAACTCTTAATGTAATTTTATGTGGGGAAAAAATAGACTGTCCAGCTTTGTAAAGAGTTCCTAGAAAGAGCCATACAAACCCTGAGGGCTGTAAGCTTATTTTTCTGAACATGTGGAAGACTGAAATTGAATCTCTTCTGTAACACACAACTGAGGAGCCACTGGTGTTGGTGGCCCTGAGCTCTAATGTTTGACCTGTGTTTCCTGAACAGCCTCGGGACGTACGCGTCTCTGCGTGGGAACATCTACTGCAAGCCTCACTTCAATCAGCTCTTCAAGTCCAAAGGCAATTATGATGAGGGCTTTGGACACAAGCAGCATAAGGAATTGTGGGCAGGTAAAACTGAATGTGAAGAATCCCCGGAGAAAACCATCCATGGTGTGAATTCACCAGACACTCCACAAAGCCCGGGAGTAGAGGATGCCCCGATTGCAAAGGTGGGAGTTCTGGCAGCAAGTATGGAAGCAAAAGCTTCAGCTGTGCCTGAAAGGGAAGAAAGACCAGCAGAAACAAAAAAGCTCAGGATTGCCTGGCCACCTCCATCTGACCAAAGTATCCAAGGAAGTGCCTTAGATGAGGGCATCAAAGTACTCAAACCCAAGTGGCCTCCAGAAGAAGAGATTTCCAAGCCTGATATGCAGGAGGATGTGGATCTGGATCTCAAAAAGTTAAGAAGATCTTCCTCGCTGAAGGAGCGAAGTCGCCCCTTTACAGTTGCAGCCTCATTTAGAACAGTATCTGTTAAAGGCCATAAAACAGAGAATTCACCATCTCCCTCTAAGGAAGAGAGAGATACATTGAAAAGGAGTGAGGAACTGGAGAGAGAGGTTGTCATAGAGAAAAAGCAAAAGGAAAAGAAGGTTGAGCATAGGAACATCCAGAATGCTGGGGAGAAAAATGTGGAGGAAGAAGGGGAATTGTCTGGTATCAAAACAGCAGAGCAGAACATTGTAGAGAATGGCCAGATGAATGCAGACACAGATGAGGAAGAGCACACTACAGAGGAGCCAGAAATTCCAAAGGAAGAACTCCTTGAACCAAATTCTCCTAAACATTCCAGCTTAGCCAATGTTGTGTCCGCTAAGGAATCATCTCCAAACCAGAATCGCAAATCCCAAGACGTTGGTTTTTGGGAGGGTGAAGACATGGAAGATCTATCTGTGGAAGAACAGATCAAAAGGAATCGCTACTATGAAGATGATGATGATGATGAATAAATTGGCCTTTTACTAGAAAACTTGCTGCAAGGTGCTAGGCCTTTTGAATTGGATATTTTTAGCTTTAACAAACAGCTCTCCTGGATGAAGTGATGCTGCACTGCACATCAGCATTAAGGGAATCTACCTACAAATTATCTCAGCTAGAGAACTCTGGAAGCCTGCAAATTCTTCAGGTGCATGGAACAAGTGTCTGGCTGTGGGACGGCTTCAGCAGGTAGTGTCTGTCCCCAGCATGAGAACAGAGCTGTTCTGTCTCATCCCTTTGAGCTTCAATAGGTATTTCACTAACCACTTCTGGAATTCCACTGTACTTGCTGGGCTGGTGTGGGACAGGGCTCTGGAACACACCACCCGTACCACTCCAAGTGCTACTGCAGTGCTTAGGGACCAACTTCAAAGGGACTTTCTGGCCTGCTTTAAAACGGTCACTTAATGCACTTTAATACATGGAAAGGGCACAACTGGGCTTTTTTTAATAATAAAAGCATTTTTGTGTGTGGTGTCCAACAACTAAAGCATCCTAAACTGAGTGCAATGTGAATTTCTGTCTCAAACCTGCCTGTGATCGGTTGAGGAGTCCCTGCACAACTGGAATGGTGCCCGTTGCTGGATCATGTGTATTTCAGTGCTATCCCAGGAGCTGTGCTGGCTGCCAGGTCTCTGCAAAAGACAAGTGAACACTTTGGAGCAGCCTGCAGGGCATTACTTCTGCATTTCACATGCATTTGAAGTGGAGTTTTTTGTTTGTTTTGTTGTCATTTCTTTTTTTACCTGGAGTTCTTCATCATAATTTTAAACTGCAGATAAGATTTTTAAGGCCTTTTGACAACTCTGAAATCCTACTTTTATCAAGCTGCCATAAATATTTTCCTTACAGCTGTGAAATTGTGCTGCATTGCAAAAATCTCTGGAATCAGTGACACTTTCCAATTGCCAGTGTTGAAGATCAGAACATTTTTAAACTTGACTTCATTTATTTTACAAATAATAAAATCTTGAATGGGGGGAGGAGGAGGCCCCTTTTTTTATTATTAGCTTTTATTTGTACTGTATTCTCAAGAGAATTAGATCTTAACGATTCTTGAGGTGTAAAATATTCTGCTTTCTTAACAGTTCTGCTAATGACAAAACCTTCAATAAAGTTTGGGTCATTTCCATTATAACTGAAGTCTGGATTCATCTTGTTTCACAAAGAGGCACTATTTAAAGAGTCCTCGAATTGTCATGGAATGGTTTGGGTCAGAGGGGACCTTAAACCTCATCACATTCCACCTCCTGCCATGGCAGGGACACCTCCCACTATCCCAGGCTGCTCCAAGCCCCAACCTCTCCTTGGGCACTTCCAGGGATGAGGCATCCTCTGGGAAATCCATTCCAATGACCTACCACCCTTACAGGGAAGAATTCCTTCCCAAAATCCCCTCTGGCAGTTGAAAGCCCCTTGTCCTGGCACTCCAGGTCTCTCTCCATCTTTCCTGCAGCTCCTTTCAGGGACTGAAAGGCCACAATGATGTCACCCCAAATTGTGTCTTTTCCAGGCTGAGCAATCCCAGTTGTCCCAGCCTTTCCTCACAGCAGAGCTGCTCCATCCCTCTGATCCTCCTGGTGCCTCCCCTGGACTCTCTCCTGCAGCTCCATGTCGTCCCTGTGCTGGGCCCTGGGGCTGGGGGCAGCTCTGCAGGTGGGGTCTCACCTGAGCAGGGCAGAGGGGCAGCCCCCTTCCCCTGCTGGGGGCTCAGCCCAGGCTCAGGGACTTCCTGGGGCATGTCCAGCACCTCAAACCCTCCCCAGGGCTGCTCTCCATCTGTCAAAATGGAGGGAAGAGATGGGCGAGCTCCCGGTGCTCCCCCTGGAAGGCAGCCCGGGCTGGCTCTGGTGCCCCACTAGGTGACACTGTGTGTCCGTGGTTTGCTGCTCGACTCAAACGAGCAGCTTCTGCTCTCACATTGAACAGGGATTAGAACACGACTGGCAAAAGGAATAAGGACATGCAGGGAATTTTCACTCCCATTTCTGGCTCCAGGTGGCTCTCAAGGGCAGCTGAGGACAAGTGAGGGTTTTTCCCCCTTCCTATCAGCTGCTTTTAATTTAAATTATTGTCACTTGAGCCTGTGAGGGGTTTGGTTGGGAGAGAGTGGGATAAGAGCCAGAAGCAATGCAGTGAACATTCTGCAGCAGTACGAGGAAATGCTTATGTGTGTGACATGGATATTGGGAAGAAGGAAAAGCCTCCTTCCTAGCTGGAAGGTGTTAGCAGTTTCACAACCTACTGCTCATTTTCCTTTTTTTTTTTTTAAATGGAGAAGTAAGGCTTGCTTTGTACAGAGGAAAAACTAAAAAACCTGATGTGCAAACCCAAGCTGCTTTCTGTCACCTCTCTCTGCTCCTAACAAAATCCATTTAGTATCATATTTCCTCTAATTGCTAAGCAACCAGAGATCTCTCTGACTGGAAATTGTGCTATTTGAAAAGGGAGGGAAGATCATTTGTCGTGGACTTGGATTTATGGAATATGCCAACTGCTCGTTTCTAAGGAAACGCAATTGAATTTTACTGTGTCTTCCCGGTTACGTGATACTGAAGCAATACTGGCTGCACTTAGCAGAGACTTTAATCAGAAAATCATTAATTCTAGTTAAATCTGAGGCATCTGTGAGTCTCTGACATACAGGGGCCTGCATCCAACTGAACATCTTCAAGGAGAAATTAGCACATTGGCTACTTCTAAATAAAGTCATTGATTAAAAAAAAAAAAGGCGACTAGATCATAAATTACTCTATCCTTGAATCTATTAGTTATCATAGCATTTGAGTGCTTAATGGGCCATTTAATCTATTCTCCACTGGACAGGTGCCAAAAGAGACATTACACTAACCATGGATCGTTTGCTGCCCTGTCTTGCTGCCTTGAGGACTTTTACCAGTTAAAAGTCGTCTCTGCTTGCGGAAACCGCGAGGGTCAGCACTGTGGGAAGCATCGACATCACGGCCGTGACATGGTGGAATTTTTGGGGTGTCCGGTGCAGGGCCAGGAGTCAGACTTTGATGATCCTCGCGGGACCTTCCCAATTCACTATATTCTGTGACCCTGTGGTTCTGTCACTTTTTGGCTCTGGTTCTGGTTCTTTTATTATTTTTTTTTCCAGCCCCGCCGGTTCTGTTCCCTCAGGGGGCGCTGAGGGGGCGGCGGGGCCGCGCGCGCGCTCCTCCCTCACGAGCCCGCGGGCGGGAACGCGGGGGCGCCGCACTGCGCATGCTCCAAAGTAACGGGCCGCGCGAGGCCCCGGCGGAAGCGCCGTGAGCAGCGGCCTCGCCCCCGTGAGCGGCGGCCGCTGTGAGGGGCGGGCTCAGGTGTGGCCGTGAGCGCCGGGATCTCATTTTGGCTTCGCTCGGTGGCTGCGGCGACCGCCAGAACAGCGGCCGCCGGGAGGGGCGGGGCAAGGCGATAAAGGGCGCGGCTTCGTCCCAGCTCCGCACCGCCTGTAGCGGGCGATGCAATAAGGGGAACGATGATGAAGAAGAGGGGCGCGGTGCGTTCCAAGCCCGCCCCTTACGGGCCGCGGTGAGAGGCGCGGCTTCCTCCAGCCCCGCCCGGCCGTGTCGGTGGCGCCCACCCGGCCGGGGGCTGAGGCGATGAGGGGCTGAGGCGTGAGGGGCGCGGTCTCCCCAAGCACCGCCCCCTCGGGGCACGGACTGCCGCCCGATTCGCTGCCGCCGTGATGGGCAGGGCGGGGCCGGCGCTCGGCCCGCCCCCGTGTCTGTGGCGGCCGCCCGAGCGCGGCGGCGGCAGGCGGAAGATGGCGGCGGCCGCGGCGGCGGCGCTGCGGGCCTGGTTCTGGAACGAGCGGTTCTGGCTCCCGCACAACGTGACGTGGGCGGACCTGGCCGGCGAGCCGGGCAGCGGGCTGCAGTACCCGCGGGCCGCTCACGTCCTCTCCGCCTTCCCGCTGGCGCTCGGCATCTTCGCCGTGCGGCTGCTCTTCGAGAGGTGAGCGCGGGGCCGCCCCCGGGGCGGCGGGGCCGGGAGGCGCTGGGGTCTGTGGGCACCGGGCCGGGCCGGGGGGCGGCTCGGCGGGGGCTCCCCCGCACCCTGCGGGGCCTCCGCGAGGCCCTTCGTGCGTGGAAAGGGGACATTGTGTAATCCCGGGAATCTGTCGCGGGAGTCGTGTCTGTCGCGACATGCACAAGCCCGTGGGGCTCTGCTGCCCTGGATCTGCATAACGAGAGGCCCCTCCAGTCCGGCGGTGCTGAGGTAGTGCCAATAAAAATCCCATGTTTTATATAGGAATTCACTTTTACTCGTGCTGCTGCCCGGGGAGCCTCGCTGGTGACGGGCAGAGCTGGCGGCTGCTGCTGCTGCTCCGCACTTGGCTTCCGTGTGCGCTTTATTGTACTTTCCCTGAGTTCCTGGATGAGGAAATAGGGCTGCTTCACATGGCCTGATGTATTATTAAACACTTGGTGGCTCTCCCTCGTCCCAGGCACGATGGATGTGAGTGTGGATCTTCATCTCTGCCCATAAACAGGTGTAATCCGGGATTCCTCATTTCCCTGGGCATCCATAAACATGTGAGCTCAGCCCTGGGGCACGGGCAGATCCGTGTGTGGTGTGGATCTGCCACAGCCACACGCAGTGTGTGGGTGGCTGAGATATTAATTAGTAAAGCGGCTTACTTAGGAAGCCCTTAGGTGAAACGGACCAAGACACCCTCTGCTGCTGTGCAGGTAGTTCATTAAACATTGATTTAATCTTAAATTTCTGCCTTGAAAAGGCAGAAGTTGACCAGCTTGGATGGACTTGGAGCAACCTGGATAAGTGGAAAGTGTCTCAGCCCATGGCAGGGGGTGGAGCTGGGTGAGCTTTAAGGTCCTTTCCAACCCAAACCCTTCTATGATTCCATGGGTATTTCTAAGCATGAAAAAGGCTGCAGGACTAAAGTGAGTGGGAATTGAGTCAGGGATTTTTCTGTGGGTTTTCTTTAAGAATGAATTTTCCTGAGCTTTCAGAAATTAAGAAGAGGTGGTTGGGATGAAGTAGAAAGATGGCAAATATGGAGGAAAATGAGGCAGGTCAGCAGAGAGGTGGGAAACTTGAGAGCCTCTATTTTCTTCATCCTGTCTTTCTTCCCTTAAGAAAAAGCTTCAGAAAACCAGTGCAGAGAACCCAGGAACACACGTGGCACTGCCAAAATCCCATCTCAGTGTGGTGCGTGCTGGTCCTGGCCAAACCTCTGTACTTGCCAGGACATGAGGAAATGAGGTTGTGAGACACAATAAAAACGATATTGTAGGGAGGTTCCTAATCCAGGTGTCAGTCTGGGGATGAGGTGCAGAATATTCTCTTCTCCTGGAGTTGCTGGGGAAGATGCACTACACCTGATGGCACACTGCTCCAGACAGCGTTTCCTTTGTCCTGATAATGTCTCCCTGGTTTGTGAAATTTCTTTTGTGGTGTGAATTTAGGCTGGAGTCAAATGATGATTTAACTCCTGAGCCTGCAGAGCAAAGCTCAGGGGCCGAGGTCTGCTTCCTGAGGGGGTTGTTCCTGATCTCAGCTGTGTCTCAGTGGTGTCCCAAAGTGAAAGCAGATTGTGACAGCCCATCTCAGGCAGTTTCTAGTGTGTTTGTTTTAAAAGTACATATCTTTGAATAAACTCCTTTCTGTTTCTTCCAGCCACTTTGAACATGTCATAAAAGTTCAGCTTTGTCTCAATAAACTCCTGTGGTGTATTTATCCCAATTCAGGCTTTGATTGTGTCAAATGTCTCTCTTGACACACATTTCACAGTTGGACTTGGTGACTCAGAATGTGAATTACAGACTCGTGCAGCTCTTTTGGTTGAGCTGCTTCTTTTCTCTCTCCTTTTGCAGCTCCTCACTGTGAGGAAGTGCTTTGTGCTACAACACTGACATGTTTCTGTTAGTTAGAATTCCACTAAAAACTACCTTTTACATCATAGTACTGACAAAATAATCATAATTTGTCTGTCTGAGCAGTTTATGACTGTAGGTGTGAATGCAGGACTCATAGAGGAAGGTAAAGACAGTGGAAAGTGAGAGGGTGGGGATTTTTGACCAGTCAGCAAAGACTTCTGCCCATAAATTTGGTTTATATTTTTTATCCTTGATTATACTTTTCAGTATTTCTCCTTGCACATCTTCTCCCACTGTAGGCAAAAAAAAAAAATCCCAGGTATCTGCAAAAACCTGGATGTGATGTGTTTTTAGCTGCACTGGAGTGATCTTTGGAACCAAGTGTGGTTGATACTGGAGAGATCTGAGGAAGGATCTGCAGCTTGTGCTCCAGCTGGGGAGGGGGAGAAAAAGGTGATTTGAGATGTTACTTAATCAGGTCTATTATGGAATGAGGTGATTAAATCTTAACACAGAGAAATTGAGAGATGATGGAAATACAAACTCGATATTCAATACATCTCACTCTGGAGATTGTTCTTCCTTTAAGAGCTGTAGGGAGTCACCAGCCAAACTAGAATGTTCATAAAGAAAGATTCTGCCCTTTTGTGAAGCACAGCGTGCCTGAGAACTATTTATTCTAACTTATGAGTCTGTGGACTTGAAAATTGGTTTTAAAATCAGTGTGTGTTAACAAGTAGTGTGAAAGGGTAGGCTGGGGTGTGAGCTGATCCCTGTTGATAAAGGTTTAATAGAAGTGTTTATGTGATGAGAATTTCTTGCTGGAAGGTGTGGCAGTAAGTTGACCTTGGGTTTGTTGCCGTTGAGTTTTCTATAAAATCATAAAATCATTTAGATTAAAAGGGACCTTTCAAGGCCACCTCATCCAGTCCTCTCCTCAAAGCAAGGCCAGTGTTCAGGCAACTCAGGTCACCCGTGGTCTTCTGCTGTTCAGGTTGAGTATCCCCAAGAATGGAAATTCTGCTGCCTGGGCAGTGTTTTTGTCTATTTTGGGGTTGTGCAGAACTTTGTCACTGTGGGATTCAGTCAAAACACATCTGAAAATCTGCTCTGGGACCAAAACTTTAAATGCCACAGCAGTTTGAAGTATGAATTTACCTGAATAGCAGGTCAGCTTGGGATTTTCCTGTCTGAGCAGGGGATTCACCACTCATTTCATATTCCACCTGCAAGTTCACGTGTGAACTTCTCTGCTGCACTTGTGGTATATCCTGTAGGAAATCAGAGTATGAGGACATTTAATACTTGATATTTTTTACATTTTTGTGGTGGTCTTGCCAAATGTTTCATAACATCAGGACAGGATTTCTGGCTGGTGGTCTGGATTATGGCGGAAGCCGTGAGCCTTTGGAGCCAAGCTCAAAGGAAATCACTCCTTCCTTTTTATTTTTTAATTTTTTTTTTTTTTAAGCTGTGGGCGTTGAAATGTAGTTTAGCATGTCCAGAGAAAGGAGCAGAGATGGGAAGGGTCTGGAGCACGAGGAGAGGCTGAGGGAGCTGGGAAGGGGCTCAGCCTGGAGAAAAGGAGGCTCAGGGGGGACCTTGTGGCTCTGCACAGCTCCTGACAGGAGGGTCAGGTTGGGCACCAGGAGGAATTTCTTCATGGAAAAGGTGGTCAGGCCTTGGAAGGGGCTGCCCAGAGAGGTTTGGAGTCCCCATCCCTGGGGGTGTCCAAGGACATGGCCCTTGGTGCTCTGGGCTGGGGACGAGGAGCGGATCAGGCACAGCTTGGGCTCAGTGATCCTGCGGGGATTTTTAACCTCACAGATCCTGGGTGGAGACATAGGAAGAACTGGAGCAGACAGGGAAACCTGGGCCCACAGTGGCTGTCGTTTGTTTAGTGTTTTCTGAGAGCTGGGTGTTCCTTTGGGATCAGTCACAAGCTGATCTGTAATTCCTCAAGGGAAAACTCCACGACCTGGGACTGTTCTTAAACACAGCCACAGATATTTGTTCCTGAAACACTGAGTATTCCTGAGAATAATTACTGTTGGAGCAGTTAGAGCCACAACTCTCCTGAATTTTAATCTTTCCTTTTAAACACAAGGAGAAATTGTAACAATGTGGTCAGAAAAAGCAGCATTTTCTGCTTGGTGGCACTGGGAGGCTCCTAAATACGTGTAATTTCAGTTTAGCTCTCCCTGAAACAATCTCTCTGTGAAAGCAAAATGGTTTTAAGGGTTCAAATCTTGTGTTCTTTTCAAAATCAGTTTGAGAAACAGATTCGTCCTCAAAATAAATGATTAAAAGATACTAAATTTTGCTCCTTTAACCCCCTCTTTTGCCCACCAACAGGAGAGGAACAATTCACATGTCAGGTAATGCAGACATTTCCCTTGGAACCCTGAGCCCATTCTGACACAAACGTGCAGCAAAACCTGGTAATTCTGAACATGTTTATATTTGTTTTCGTTTCAAACCCAGGCTAGTTTCCAGAGTCTGTGCTATAAAATCCAGGAAGAGTTAAATCAGTTTGGAATACACAGAGCACATGGGATGGATGAGACCCTGGGATCTTTCAGACTGGGGGACTGCATCTTCCTGTCTGTCCTGAAGGAAACAAGCCACTTTGCTTTTCCCCCAAGAAAAAGTTACTTTTAGGAGCTGTGTCACTTGAACTTCCCTTTTTTTCTGAGCTAAGGCCTATTTTGGAAACAAGATGCTTTGTTTTAGGGCTTCATCTCCAGCGTTTCTGTTCACAGCAGACTGCTATCAGTCTATTGTTTTATTGCTGAGGAATGAGAATCTCCCTGGGGAGCACATTCAGATCTTTACAAGCCAAGGGCATTAAGATTTAATTTTTCATTCTGGTGTGCACAGTATGTGCTGGCTGCAGTTACCATATGGACTAATAAAAGAAATTTCTTCACCTGGGAAGCGGTGGAATGGAGATTTCAAAAGCTTTTTCACCAGGTTTTGCAGCTGGTGACAAATGCAGGTCCTTGTGATTCAGGCAGAGGAAGGAAATAAATATCTTGTTTTAATCCAGCTCTTTCTGGGCAATTCTTGCAGGTTTATTGCCAAGCCATGTGCCATAAACCTTGGCATTCAGGACAGTGGACCTCACAGAGCCCAGCCCAATGCAATTTTAGAGAAAGTGTTTACATCCATCACTAAGGTGAGTCACACTTCACATTCCTCCCCCATTCCGAAGGGAATGGAGGCCTGGAACTGTCTCTGGGGGGGCTTTTGCTTCCACTTTTCTGCATTGAGATGCACATTTCACACTCTGCATCCACGTGTGGGCTCGTTCTGGTTTTACTTTGCCTCTGGCAAGTCCTTCTGGTAGCAAAGTCAATTCCCTGTATGGCTGAGCCATGCTTTGTGTACAGAAGAATCTTTTTTGGGATACAAATGTTCACCTGATTGACAGGCCTGAGCTGCTTCCTTTGGCCCAAGTTACACAGTGGAGAGTCTTGGTTTAATCAGAGATTTCCCAGCATCTTCCACTTTTATTGGGAAAGGGTTCCTCTTTTTCTGGTGCTCAGTTCCTTTTCTGATTTTATTGGTTTTATTGCGATTTCTTCCCATGATTTTTGCCATTTACTGTAAACCTGGACAGCAGTTGTCAGTGGAAGAGGATATTCAGGGAGTGTTCAGTCAGTGAAAGATGTCCTGATGAAGGACAGGACATTTAATGGTGGCAGGAGGTGTTTCTTTGGGTTGTTTCCTGCTTTCCCTTAAGCTCACAGGCCTACAGAATTCCAGAATCCCACTGTATTTTATCCAACATTGAGTAAGTGCAATAGATTTTCATTAAAGATAACAAAATGGAAGGTTTTCTGTTGAGATTTGGTGATGAACCTGATCTACTGGAGCAGATAAAGGGAAATTCTATAAAAACCTCCAAAAACTTGCCTTGTGGGAACATTAAAGTTTTGAAGCATTTGGAGTGATGTATGAACTGAAGAATCCCCAGAATCTGGTGTCCTTTGTTGGAAGAACTTTAATGCAGGGGATGTCCTTGAAATTACTGTTTAGAAAACCTGGGAGGTCACAGGCTGTGCAGAATTTGTCTGGCTGATGAACCCTTTACCTGTCCCAGTGTGCTGTGGGGTTTGGAGGGCCAGGCTGGGGGTGGCCCTGGTGCAGGGGAAGGGTTGCACTGCTGCTCTGAGCTGGGAGCTCTGCATTCCTCTGGAGGCAGCTGCTTTCCCAACCATTAAATCCCAGGAAAGTGCTGAGAGATGTGGTGTGGTGGATTGACAGGACAGTCATGGTCTCAACGCTGAAAATCAAATTATTCTGATTTTGATTTTCAGCTGATGGGGTTTTTTTTATTACATCAACATTCTGCGTAGCTTTTGTGGTTGATATGTAACTCAAATAGTAAAATGTGTTTATCATCTTTCAGTGGTAGAGCTCCCTGGCAGAGTTGGTCTGAATTATCTCACTCCTGGGCCATTATAGAGGGAGCTACCAGGTTTGGTTCACTTTGATAAATCCATTTGTGTTCATTCAGACAGGTGGAGAACAGGGATCCATTATATCTATATTTGTCATGGAAGTACTTCAGTCTTCAAATATATTTTCATTTATAAACTTTGATAACAGAAATAACACAATTTCTACAGTGCCCTCATGGAATATACAAATATCTACTGTTTTAAACCAACTCTTACTTTAAAGTTTCCCTGTCCTTGCTGTGAGTAGCAAACCTTAAACATCTTAAGCTTTGCTCGGAGTTCTGGGTGCAGCTTTAACAGATAGGACAGACACTGTAACAACTCCTCCCCCAAATTAACCCACAGAACAGTCACAGTCTTTGTCTTAATGTGCTGTCAACTGATGAAATAGGTGAGGAAATGCTCAACCAAAACCATTCTGAGTAATTAAGTAATTAGTGGCTTATGAAGGTTAAATCTGAATGAGCATTTGTGGCAATGGGTTCTTGCTTCCAGGCTCTGTGGTCCCTTCCTGGTGTGTTTTTTGTTTTCTGTGCATTATTTCTGTCGTAGTGCAGGACTGAAAGTAGCTTGAGGAGTGAGAGAAATGACATTTGTTTCATTTTCCTTCAGTCTCCAGATGCAAAAAGGTTAGAAGGCTTGTCCAAGCAGCTGGACTGGGATGTCCGGAAGATCCAGCGCTGGTTTCGGCACCGGAGGAACCAGGACAAGCCCACCACCCTCACTAAATTTTGTGAGAGCATGTATGTTTGTGCAGAGGGGCTTCATCTTAGAGCTCCAGCTGCGCCTGGGGGCAGCTGCTCTGCCAGACTGGGGCCAAAATTCCTGTACAAGCAAACAGGGCAGTTCAAGGAGGGTTTAGAATTCTGAAATGGTTTGTGGGCGTGCCTGAGACACCAGAACGGGGCACAGGAGTCAGTGCTGGGCGGCTTTAGGCACTGGGCCAGGTCCTTCGTGGCACTCGAGAGTGGCTGTGGGTCCATGTGTCTGTGTGTCCGTGTCTCTGTGTGTGTGTATGTCTGTGTCCATGTCTGAGTGTCCGTGTGTGTCCGTTTCCATGCCTCTGTCTGTGTGTCCATGTGTCTGTGTGTCCATGTCTCTGTGTGTGTGTATGTCTGTGTCCATGTCTGAGTGTCCGTGTGTGTCCGTTTCCATGCCTCTGTCCGTGTGTCTGTGTGCCTGTGTGTCCATGTCTCTGTGTGTCTGTGGCCGTGTCCACATGTCCTTGTCTCTCTTTGTGTGTCCCTGTCCGTGTGTCCCTGTCCGTGTGTCCCTGTCTGTGTGTCCCTGTCCATGTGTCCATCCCTGTCTGTCGGTACACACCAATACCTGTCCGTGTGTCCCTCCTGTCTGTGTGTCTCTGTCTGTTGCTACACACCAGTCCCTGTCCGTGTGTCCCTGTCCGTGTGTCCCTGTCTGTCGCTACACACCAGTCCCTGTCCGTGTGTCCCTGTCCGTGTGTCCCTGTCTGTCGCTACACACCAGTCCCTGTCCGTGTGTCCGTTTCCATGCCTCTGTTTGTGTGTCTGTGTGTCTGTGTGTCCGTGTCTCTGTGTGTGTGTATGTCTGTGTCCATGTCTGAGTGTCCGTGTGTGTCCGTTTCCATGCCTCTGTTTGTGTGTCTGTGTGTCTGTGTGTCCATGTCTCTGTGTGTGTGTATGTCTGTGTCCATGTCTGAGTGTCCGTGTGTGTCCGTTTCCATGCCTCTGTCCGTGTGTCTGTGTGCCTGTGTGTCCATGTCTCTGTGTGTCTGTGGCCGTGTCCACATGTCCTTGTCTCTCTTTGTGTGTCCCTGTCCGTGTGTCCCTGTCCGTGTGTCCCTGTCCGTGTGTCCCTGTCCATGTGTCCCTCCCTGTCTGTCGGTACACACCAATACCTGTCCATGTGTCCCTCCTGTCTGTGTGTCTCTGTCTGTTGCTACACACCAGTCCCTGTCCGTGTGTCCCTGTCCGTGTGTCCCTGTCTGTCGCTACACACCAGTCCCTGTCCGTGTGTCCCTGTCCGTGTGTCCCTGTCCGTGTGTCCCTGTCCCTGTGTCCGTGTCCCTGTCTGTGTGTCCCTGTCTGTGTGTCCGTGTCCCTGTCCGTGTGTCCCTGTCCCTGTGTCCGTGTCCCTGTCTGTCACTACACACCAGTCCCTGTCCGTGTGTCCCTGTCCGTGTGTCCGTGTCCCTGTCTGTGTGTCCCCGTGCCCACACTGGCAGTGAATCCCCTGGGACTCTCCTGCACGGCCCCGTTCCCATTCCCACCTTCTGGCTTCCTTTTCTTCTCTCTTCAGCCCCTTCTTTGTTCCCCGTTCCCTCCGAGCTCCTGTAGTTTTCTCTGTAGTGCAACAGAACCTCAGTATTTTTTCCTGACTTGTTTCTCCTCTGCTGGTTTCTTTCCTTTCCAGTAACTTTCAATTCTTCCCCCAGTATGGTTTTGTCTACCTAAAGCCACAAGGTAAGAGGGAAAAATAACAAACACTAGGATATCTCTGGGTGACAACAGCTTTGCTTGTTGTTATCTTGTTGTCTTTGAAATATGGAATGATGCATGTTCACCCTGAATTTCAAACCTGGCTGTTGATGCAAACCCGTGTGTGGTGTGAAAATTCTTCAGCAGGTTTATGTTACCTGAAATGTTTAGAAATCAAAGTGGGTGAAGGCTTTTCAGGTGTGAGATTTTGTCAGATTTTTCCCAATTATTTAAATTACTTTTACAAATTCTAACCAAAAGCTAATTCTATGTCCTGAGTTTATTTTTTACTTCTTTTTCCAGGTGGAGATTTACATTTTATTTCGGTATATTTTTTTATGGAATCAGGTTTCTCTGGACGGTGAGTTGCTCTGTCACCCACGTTATTGTTCTGTGTGGTTGCAGTTGAATGATCCCTGATTTGGCATCCTGGGGGTTTTGTTAAAGACATTCTTTACACTATAGGGAAGCTTCTATGCAGATCTATAATTTTGGAAATAATAGAAAATTATTTGATGTGTTACCCCAGACTGTTGGAAAAAACAAAGTGGGGTCTGGGTTTTCTTTGCTATGGAGAGCTGCTCCTTTTTTTCTCTTTTCCTCTTGAAGGGATACAGGTTCATCTCCTTGGCTCTTTATAATTATTAGAGCTGTATGATTATTCTAGAAATTTCCATTGCAGCAGAACTCACAATGGCAGCACAAATTAGGCTTTAAATCACGAGGGTTTTTTACAGTAAATGTAGTTTGAATGGCAGAATAAAAGTAAAATTTCAGTTGAGGCAGTGCTGTATTGTCAGGGGACTTTAGATGCTGAGGAGGAAAACACCAAGTACAAACTGGGGGTTTATATAAATTCTTATTTATATATAATAAAAACCTACCTCTTCCCTTTAGGCACCCTGGTTTTGGGACACACGACAGTGCTGGTACAACTACCCTTTCCAGGTATGAAAGAAACACCTCCTAAATTCCAACTTTTTGGACAATTCCAGTTTTTATTTTTGTTATTGACACTGGATTAAAACTCTGCCATTTACTCTTCATGTTTCTATATCCTGGTTAGGTTTGGCAGCAGCAGGGTTTCCTCAGATACATCTGACTCAGTCACTTTATGTTTATTTGCTGCTGAGATTATTAAAAGTGGGAGAAAAAGGCATAAAATCATAGTGGTAATTTATTTATTTACTGTGTAGAGGTCAACAGTCTGTTCCAGAGTCTGATTTTCCTACTCCAAGAGACTTCAGCAGGAGCTGTAAATATTGACAAGGGAATTTACTCCTTTGGAAGAAAGCTCAAACACACAATTACATTTGTGTGAGTAAGCCTGGAGTTTGATGCCTGTTTTTATTAAACCTGAAATATTTAACTTATGCCTCAGCAATTCTGAAGGAACAAAGTGGGATGGAAAAGGAGGAAGGAAAAAAGAGATTTTAATGTAAAATTTGAATTATTTTGTCTTATAAGTCTGCTTTCTCTGTGTGTTTTCCAGCCTCTAACATCCAGGCTTTATTATTACTATATCTTGGAGCTGGCCTTCTACTGGTCCCTCATGTTTTCTCAGTTTACAGACATTAAACGGAAGGTGAGATGAACCAGAATTGCATTAACCACTCAATAGCTATAATAAAAACAAGAATAATAGGTAGGACTAACAAAAAATGGGAGTGTGCCTGTCCAGGAAAGCCAAAACGTAGTGATAATTCTATTTTCTTCCTCATTTACACCTTTGTGAGCCCTGGGAAAAAGGGAGGAGTGAGGCTGACCTGGTGTATCCTTGAGTTCCTTTCACCTTCCAGGGGACAGAGCAGCTTCACTCAATACCTCCCAATCAAAAGTTAACAAATCATTGCCTAAAAATAGATTTAACTGGAAGGCTTGCAAGAAAATGAGCTGCTTAAAGCAGTACCTTGCTGAAGCTGCTGAGGAAATGGCAAATGCTAAGGAAATAATAAATGGGGTTTTGAAAGGAATGTCTCATCTGTGTGAGGAGCAGATGATGAGTGGTTGCAGTTGCTCAAATCTAATTCTGTCATGCTGCGTTCCAGGATTTTGTTTTCCAGGTTATTGTTGCTGTTGGAGAACAGTCCCCAGTAAATCCTGGCTTATTGCTCCTTTACATGAGCTGCAAAGCAGCAAATTACCCAAATTTTTGCATTGGCTGTTAAAAACCACCACGTTTTTTCTGTGCTGAAATATGAGCAGGTGTGGCACTGTGGAATACAGTGGAGCTGCAGACAGGGAGTGATGAACAACCTCTGGGACTGTGTTTGCAATATTTCATTTTGACTTTAACAAGTGGATGGCATTCCCCACGGCAGCAGGGTGAGGTACAGGGAGCCAGGGGCTGAAGTGCAAACCAGCCCTGAATATTGTGCATTGTAAACATTTTTTGTTCTTCCTGCTGAGTTTCCCTGGTGTTCTGTGCCCGCTCTGCCCTGGCAGGGTTTGGTCACTGACAGCAGTAGCAGCACTTAAATGTGTCCCAGGAGCTGAGGGGACTTCAGTGTGTCTGAAAAACCAGGAGGAGATAAAAATAAGGGTCATCTTGTGCTCTGAATCATACCTGTGGGGTCTGCAGGTACAGTTCTGTGTGTGTGCCACAGAGACTGTGCTGCTCCCTGAGCAGGCAGAGCTCTGACTTCAGCAGCACCAAAGCTGAGAGATCTTTCTGGAAGCTTTTGTGGAGATGGTGGGAGTGTGATGAGCTGTGATTGCTGTGGAGTCAGAGCCTGAGCCGAAGGAATCCTGTGACCCCAGTGACTCAGTTGGGTGGCTCTGTTCCAAATTTTTGCATTTGTGTGACGACCAAAGAGTCTTCATTTGTGCTTTTCCTGTTTCCAGGACTTCCTGATCATGTTTGTCCATCACTTGGCCACGATTGGACTCATCACATTCTCGTACATGAATAACATGGTGCGGGTTGGAACTCTGGTGCTGTGCCTCCATGATGTTTCAGATTTCCTCTTGGAGGTGAATTTCCTTTCAGTCTTTACATCCCTAATGCTGGTGTGATCTCAGGGGAAAAGCTGACATTCCCCTTCTTGATAAACTGCTTTAACTGTGCCATGAAATTGGTGCTGCTGCTCCTGCCTTGTCAGCTTTTCCTCCAAACTGCTTGGGTGCTGAACAAAACCATGGAATGGTTTGGGTTGGAAGGAACCTTAAAGATCATCCAGTTCCACTATCCCAGGTTGCTCCAAGTCCCATCCAGCCTGGCCTTGGACACTTGCAGGGATGGGGCAGCCACAGCTTCTCTGGGTAACCTGTGCCATGGCCTCACTACCCTCTGACAGGGTGATTTTATCCTCTGGCAGTTTGAAGCCATTCCCCCTTGTCCTGTCACTCCAAGCCCTTGTAAATACTCTCTCCCATTATTCTTGTAGGATCACATAAATAACAGTACAAAAATAGTAATACAATATAATAATCCCTCTTTGTTCCAAACTGTACAAATGTGATTGAGAGTTTTTTTGCAGCTTTCCAGATGGCTAATTACAGGAGTGCACAAAGGAAATAATATTTGCATGTTTATTGACTTTTGTAGGCTGCAAAACTGGCCAATTATGCCAAGTACCAACGTCTGTGTGATGCTTTCTTCATGCTCTTTGGGGTCGTGTTCATCGTGACCCGCCTGGGCATTTACCCTTTCTGGTAAGCACCTGGGGCTGGGAGGCCTTGCTTGTTCTCCCAGGCCTTTCAGCAGAGCCTTTGGTTTAGGCTTTTCCCAAGCATTCCAGCTGTCCCTCGAGGCAGCCTGAAGCAGCACTGGCCCAAGTGCTGTTTGGGGCAGGAGCTTTGAGTAGGCACATGAAGAAATCTCTCCCCACTCAGCTGAGGGACTGGGGGAAGAGTCCAGAACCCCATTCACAGCTGCCCCTCCCCTGCTGCAGTGGTGACAGAGTCAGCCAGAATTGCTCTGAGAGGCTTGAAGGATTCTCTGCTTCTCTGAAGAAGTTCTAGAAATAATTCCAAGTGAGGCACAGTCTCTTGAGGTCTTTTTTGTGTTTATTTGGCTTAGTCATCACTGCAGTTTCTGATTCTTATGACACTTCTGTCCTGTCCTTGTGTCGTGACTATTCAGAGCCTGAAATAGGTCTGAGGTTTCTTAGGAGCTAAAAACCCTGGATAAATGGCTTAGAGAGAATCATCCCATAATGAGATTCCCTCTCACCTCAGTAGGTCAGACCTGGAGCAGTGCTTTGGTTAATGAACTGTTGTCCATTTATTGTGTGTGATGACAATTTGGTTAAACCATTTTACTACCTGCATTTATTTCCTAGGCCACGGACACCTGGCATTCCCATTCTTTCTGGGTGCCTGGTAGGCAGCAACAATCCTTCCACTTTAGCATCAAGGCTACAATTAAAGCTCTTGCTTATTTTCCAGTAAATGCACCAAAGGACTCTGGATGAAGAAGAGCTTTAATTCCTATTATTTCTTCATAGTCTCTTTCCAGGCACAAAATAGAGAGTTGTTTTAGCAGCTGCTGTCTGTCGTGAGGGGATGCTCTTACCTCACACCAGTGCTCAGCATCCTGTAAATCTTTAATGTGTTTTTCCACTGGCTGTAATGTCACTCCTCAGCTTTGCAGAGCAATCTGGCAAGCTGCAGCAGCACTGCAGCCCCTGTGCTGTTTCACTGCACGTGTATTCCCTTCCCTAATTAGTCATGTAAAACATCAGCAGATCTCTGGAATCGCATTTAATTCTTTCATAAACCTGCTAGGAGTTAAATACTTCTGGAGCTGCCTTTTGGGGGATTTTGGTTCTTGTTTGAAAGGCTTGTTTTGCTTTTCTTGTGTTAAAAGCTGTGTGAAATTAATGTGGTTGTTAAAGGTCTCTCCATACCTCTCTGCATCATAAAATCTGAAGTGTTTATTAAATTGCTGAAGGACTGGCAATAACTCCCAGCAACAAGAACAGCAAAACAGTAATGAAAGAAACACAAGGCTTGGGCCATAAAGCAGTTTTGAGTCTTGCAGCCTGGCTGGAGGAATCTATAAAACTCTGAGGGAAGAGAAGAGCACCCAGGGAGGGAGGCCTTTTGGGGACAAAATTCCTTCCTGATCCCAGAATCCTTGAGGTTGGAAAAGCCCTCCAAGTCCAGAATCCAGCCTGTGACTGATCCCCACCAGAGCAGTGAGTGCCACATCCAGCTGTTCCTTGGGCACCTCCAGAGACGGGGACTCCAAACCTCCCTGGGCAGCACTTCCAGTGCCTCACCACCCTTTCCATGGAGAAATTCTGCTGATGTCCATCTTGAACCTTTCCTGGCACATCCCTCTTGTCCTGTTGTTGCCTGGGAGCAGAGCCTGACACCCCCAGCTGCCCCCTCCTGTCAGAGAGGTGTGCAGAGCCAGAAGGTGCCCCCTGAGCCTCCTTTTCCCCAGCTGTTCCAGCTGTGGACACTCTCTAGCCCCTCAATCTCTCCTTGCTGTGAGGGCCCAGAACTGGACACAGCCTTGCAGTGCCCAGCACAGAGGGACAATCCCTGCCCAGCTCCTGTGCCCACCCTATTTTATATGATTTTTGATCTTTAAGTCTGGGTGAAAGCTGCCCAAGCAGGAAGGTGTTAACGGTTGTTTTGGTGACCAGAGCAGCCTGACATCACTTCCTGTGAAGTTGTTATAAATAAATGCTTGTGCTTTGGAGAAGAAAATTGGCAGCAGATCCGTGTGTGTAACCAAATTGCAGCACATTCACATGTTCTGTTTTGTTGCTCAGTTCAAATGCTCCTAATGAGCTTTTACTCAGTCTCCTGACTCTGGCAGGAGCAGAGCAGCAGATGCTCAGTGAGACACAAACTGTTGTGCATCTGGCCTGGCACCTCCAGTCAGAGCTGAGCACAGCTGATCTGAAATGTGTTTCTGGATCTCTTTCAGGATTCTGAACACAACCCTGTTTGAAAGCTGGGAGCTGATCGGTCCCTACCCTTCCTGGTGGCTGTTCAACGGGCTCCTGGTGACCTTGCAGGTCCTGCATGTCATCTGGTCTTACCTCATCATCCGCACGGCCTCCAAGGCCCTGGTGAGGGGCAAGGTGAGCTGAGGGAGCCTTCTGGCTCCTCTTTCCTACACACCCCATTAAGGAATCATGAGAAATTGGGCTTTTCAATGAGGGCTGGTGTTGGTTCTTAAGGGACTTGTGTCAAGAGTTCACAAAACCAGTGGTTTTTTATTTTTTTTACCTTGATTGCTCTGCACTTGTGAGTTCCCAGGTGTGTTCAAAGGCAGGGAGTCTCTCCTGGGCATGCAGGGGAATAACTCAATTTTCCAGTACATCCAAATGTCCTAAAATGGCAATTATGACACTCTTGTTGTGCACTCTGGATTTTAAGGTGGTAGCAGGCTCTCTTTTGGACAACAGGATGAAGATACAGGATGTTTCCCAACTTCAGCTGGTCCTTGGATATGCTGGGGATTGTGCTTCTTCACTGGCTCCTGTCTGCCAGTGCAGGCACTGAGCTCCAGCACTCAGGGAAAGGGTTCCCAGGGGTGCACTGGAGTTTGCTGGTTGTGAATGGCCTGGGTTGGAAGGGACTTTAAAGATGATCCAGGCTGGACAAGGCTTGGAGCAGCCTGGGATAGTGGAAGGTGTCCCTGCCCATGGCAGGGGGTGTAACAAGGTGGGCTTTAAGGTCCTTCCCACCCAATCTATTCCGTGATTCTATGAAACCAGCAAAAAAAGCTGATTTAGTAGCACAAATGCTTTTTCCTATCAGATATTGGTATTCTGAACTGGGTTTCTCTGACGGCTCTGCTTTATTTTGTGTTTGACTTTAGTTGCCCCTACACATGGAATGTGGCCTTGAAAAATACAAATATTCTGGTTGACTCTGGGGGCAAGCAGGTTTCAGGGTACGAGCTCTTCATCTGTTCCCCACAGCTGCTACTACAAATGCCTGATTTTCATTCTCTGCAGCTGTTTCTGTATCCTGAGTTCTACACCTTTTCCCTTTCCTTGGTTCTCTCCTGTCCAGGTGACCTAGCCAGAGAAAGGACTCTAAGCTCTGTCTTCTTCATTCTTTTCTCCTTTTCTCTGTGCCAGACTGGAGCTGGACAGTTTCACCCTGTGCATGTAAGTGTGACCTGTGTTTCTGTTTGTTCACTGAAACACGTCTGTGTCGAGGCCCCAAGACAAAAGCAGAGCCCTGGTGCCTTCTCCTCGTCTCCCTGGTCCTGACAGAGTGCTAAAATACTGTTTTTTCCAAAGGTCAGAGCAGTGTCCTGGGGTCTGTTCTCACCTGCTGTCACCTGCCTGCACAGCCTTCACTTTGTGCTTTTACACACCCACACACCAATTTCTGTCTTTGCTCCTCATCAGCACCACACTGAGGGGGAGAGGGCAGGAGGAATTGACTCCTTTTTGTGAAAAGCAATGAAACAGTCACTTCTCCCCCAAGAACAAATGTCCAGGGATTTCTGCTTCCTTCCAGTGACCCTTTGAACTTCCAATATAGCAGGAGATTGGGGAAAGATAGCAAAAGTTCTGGCAACAGGCAGAAGCCAGGACATCCAAAAAGCTCCTGGAGATCATTAACTTTACCTGGCTTCCAGCCCGATCTTCCCTGGAGTTCAATCACTTCCTGCTGCTGCAGAGCCCTAACCCTGACTCCAAAAGAGCAGAGTGGAGTGAAATCCTGGAATCCTTGGAAAGCTGCAGGCCAGAGTGCTGGCACATGGAGTTCCTGAGGCTGCAGAGGGAGGGGAGTGAGGAGCTGCCTTGGGCAGAGCAGGGGCTGCTCTCCAGGCCCAGCTCGTGCTGGGGAGCTTTGGCCCTGGCACCTGCCACCACCCAAGGTGTGTGTTTGCATTGGGGCTGGGTTTATGGGCTCTTCCCCTCCCCTCCTGGCTCTGCAGGGCTGCCCTGCTGTGGCACTTGGAGCAGCTGGCACCACGCTCCTGCTGGGAAGGTTCAAAATCCCACGTGCAAGTCAAACAGGGCTGGATTTGCAGCAGGCTCTGAACTAAGGCATGCTCTAAGCAGATCTGCATCCCTGGGCTGAGGCTGCTCTTGCTCTGAGCAGGTGTTTGCTGGACCAGACCCTGCCTTTGTTCTCCATCCCCTCTCCAAACAGGCTCCTGCTCCTAAATGGGATCTCCCAGATGAAGCACAGGCTGTGGAAATGAGATGCTTTGTTGGAAGAGTGATGTGATAAATAAAGCTGGTTAATTTTTAAAATAGCAATGCTGCTCCCTGTAGGACAAAACGTTCTCTCTCAAACTGACACATTCCTGGTTTTTGGTCGTCGGAAACACTTGTGATTGTGGCATGAGAAATTTTTGATTCAAAACAAATTGTTTAGAAAAATGGCCTTTAACTGATCTGGAGAGGAGCCCTTGGCAGAGAAGAACAACACCAGATCTGTAATCTCATCTGATCTGGTGAGGACAAGAGTGAAGTGCTTTGACAGATACACAGAATATTTGGAAAATGGAGCTCGTCTTTCCAAATTGTCTTTTTCAGTGTCTGTGTCTTGTTCCTAATGTGATGACAGGCTCCTTCTTGGGAGCTTGAACTGAGCCAGACTCAGATATAGCAGGTAGATGTGAGTGAAGGTGGTTCACCACAGGGACACAACCTTCTAACTGCTGGTTTCTGTCAATTTTTCAACTCCCCTTCTCCTCTCCCACTCCCCAATTCCATTGGCAACGTTTAGGTGTCCAAGGATGACCGCAGTGACGTGGAGAGCAGCTCCGAGGAGGAGGATGTGACTTCCAACAGCACAAAAGGAATTTTCAGCACTTCCAGTAACGGTTCCAACCGCCTGAACGGCCACGTGGCCGGGGGCCAGTGGACAGGAGAGGAGTAAGGCCCTGGGCTGGCCTTGAGCAAACACGAACTTCTCTTTCAATATCTAGTTGTGTTGAGCTCCACATTCCCAAGTGATCTTTAATCAAAAACCCCTTCCCCAGAAACCTCCAGCAGACCTGAAACGGGCACAACCCTGACCAGTCAGAGGCTTTGCACGGCACAAGGGATGAAGCCAACGACCGGGGCAAAAACAAAGCTGCAGATTTCACTTCAAGCCATTTTGTACTTCAGAAGTACAAGAAAACACCCCTGAGTCCTGTTGATGATTGCAGAGGTGTCTTTGTTGGTGACAATCTGGCTTTTACTGGGATCAGCTCGAGGCAGAGCAGGTTTGGACCGCAGGGTTCGGTGCCGCTCGGCGACGCTTCACTCCCGGCAGGGGCAGCAGCTCTTGGTGCACTCCAGAAGCCACTTCAGAGCACAGAGAATGCAGGTTCCGTGTCCCAGCTGCCCTGGGTGAGGCAGAGACTCTGCTCCCAGCTGAGCTTTGACCTGTGCTAACCCAGAACCACTGCTCTGCCTCGCCCCAGGGTGCTGGGGAGGTCCCAGCTGCTCATCTCTGCTGTCACCAGGGACCAGGCCAGCGTCTGCTGCCTCTTTTGGTGCTGCAAACCCCTCTGAAGTCTTGACCAAAGCCTTCTGCAGGGGGGTGGGGGGGGTGGTTTATTGCCCCTGAGACAACCAGCATAATCCAGGCGTTTTAAATTGTTTTCTTCCTGTTGCAAATTGTGGTTTGAAGACTTCTCTAGACCTACTGGATTCAGTTGGCTAAGCTGGGATCGGAGGGAGGATCAGAACTGGTGGGCTGGGTTTAACTCTCCAAAAAATGAGATGTTTTGGTCCTGTACTCTGAGACAAGTGATTGTTGCTGCTCTGATGTTAGAGCTGTGGAGGAACCCAGGGCTGGAAGAGCAGCCACACTGTGGGCCTTGCTTCTCTTTTTTTACTCAATGGTACTTGGGGGCAATGGAACGGTAAATCAGGAGCAGAATTTTGGAAACTTCTCAAGTTGTTACCATTTTATACTGTTGTTTACTCTTATCTCCAATTAAAAGTTGCTTCAGAAACCTGGGCTGATGTGTTTCATGTTGAGGAAATAGAAGAGGGGACAGTGCGTGTCCTTTGGCTGTCTCTGAGCACCTAGGCTGCTGCCAAGACAGGAGACACAGCTTTTTGGAAGAACAGCAGTGATGGACTCATGGAATGTACCTGCCAATGGAAGGTGGAAGAGAGTGACCTTTAACCCCAGACCAGTTCATGATTTGGGGGACACCACACACCACCACAGCAGCCACTCTGACACGGGCTTTATTGCGCTCCATCTGCCTCCCCCAGCCCAGGGGGGAGCGGGAAGGTGGGGCTGCTCCCAGGGCTGGTCCCGGGGCCAGTCCCAGCTCCCGGGACTAGTCCCAGCTCCTGGGACTGGTCCCAGGGCCAGTCCCAGCTCCCGGGGCCAGTCCCAGCTCCAGGGGCCAGTCCCAGCTCCCGGGGCCAGTCCCAGCTCCCGGGACTGGTCCCAGCTCCGGTGCCAGTCCCAGGGCCAGTCCCAGCTCCGGTGCCGGTCCCAGCTCCTGGTGCCAGTCCCAGCTCCGGTGCCGGTCCCAGGGCCAGTCCCAGCTCCAGGGGCTGGTCCTGGGCCAGTCCCAGCTCCGGTGCCGGTCCCAGCTCCGGTGCCGGTCCCAGGGCCAGTCCCAGCTCCGGTGCCGGTCCCAGCTCCGGTGCCGGTCCCAGCTGGGGCTCAGCTCTCGGGCCCCGGCGCGCTCTCCCGCTGGCGGCGGTGCTGCAGCATCCTCTGCACACGCACACTGCACAGGTAGCCGGCGTACAGCGTCAGCAGCATCATGGAGCCCGAGAAGGCCTTGTAGCCAAAGTCTGCCAGCTGCTTTTTGGACACCATGGCTGTGCACCTGCCAGACACACAGAACGCCAGGACAGTCAGGGGTGGAAGGGACCTCTGGGGATCATCCAGTGCAACCCCCGTGTCCAGGCAGGGTCACCCAGAGCAGGTGACATCATCCTCTGACGTCCCGTCCCGTCCTGTATGTATTAACAAGATCCCCTCTCAGTCTTCTCTCCAGACTAACCAGGCCCAGCTCCCACAGTCTCCCCTCAGAGAGATGCTTCAGATCCCTCAACATCCTTGTGGCCTGCACTGGACCATCTCCAGCAGCTCCTTGTCTGTCCTGTCGTGAGGAGCCAGACCTGGATGATCCCAGTGGTACTTGGGGCTATTCCTCCACGTGTTCAGCATCCTACACTTGCTCTTGTTGAGCTTCGTTAGGTTATTCTAATAAATCATTAGGTTTGTCTGCCCAGCTCTCCAGCCGATGGAGGCTCTGCTGGACGGCAGCACGGCCTTGGCTGGATCAGCCGGTGCCCTGCGTTTCGTGTCGCCACCAGACCCGCTCAGGGCGCTTCCACCCAGCGCGGATTCCGCGTCCCGTCCATCATCCCATCAATCCCGTCCCGTCCCGTCCCGTCCCGTCCCGTCCCGTCCCGCTCCGCTCTCACCGCTCCCGTCCCGCTCCGCCGCTCTCCGGGCCCGCGTCACGTGGCGCTGGGCAGTCACGTGCCTCCCGCCATCACGTGTGCCGCGGTCACGTGTGGCCGCCGGCGAGCGCGGGAAGAGCGCGCGGGGCCCGCAGCGCCCCCTGGCGGCTCCCCGCCGCGGTCTCCCCTCAGGGGCCGCTCCCGCCGCCATCGCCGCCGCCCACACGGGCACCGCAGCCGCCCTCAGGGGCATCGCAGCCGCCCTCACGGGCATCGCAGCCGCCCTCACGGGCACCGCAGCCGCCCTCACGGGCACCGCCGCCGCCCTCACGGGCATCGCAGCCGCCCTCACGGGCACCACAGCCGCCCTCACGGGCATCGCCGCCGCCCTCACGGGCCTCCCTGCACGACGGAGCCCGCGGGTCTCCCTCTCCGAGGTGCGGCGCCGGCAGCCCACAAGGGGCAGTCCTTGGCCACGCATGGATGGGGCTCTCCGGGCCGTGCCGCAGCCCTGAGGGGAGACTGCGGCACGGTGCCATCCCGACGGTCACGGTGGCTTCACAACGGCTCTGGTGCCTTCCTGAGAGCCCCAATGGCCAACCGCCTGAGGGTCCCAGTAGTTTCTTGAGGGTCCCGGTGCCATTCCAAGGGTCCCGGTGCCATTCCCAGGGCCATGGTGCCTGCCCAGGGTCCCCTGTGCCCCCCGCCCAGAGTCTCCTTCCCAACAGGCCGCGTTCCCAGGTCCCCTCCTGTCCCCTCTGTGGCAGCTGCTCCCCTCCCGGAGCTCCTTTCCAGCCTCTGAACTCTGCTGTCCCATCCCTGCTCTGTCCGGGGCTCCCTCAAGCTCCGGAGCTGCCAGGGTTACTTTTCTCCCCTCCTCATCCTCCTTTACCCCATCAGCAGCTCCCAGGGCTGCGGCACTGGGATGTGCTGAGCCTGCAGAACATAATTCCAAATGGCAAAGGGAAGACTTTTTATAGCTCGGGACATCCAGCTCCAGTGTGGTGTGTTTAAAAGCGAGAGATCGTTGGAGACCTGGGACCCTCAGCAAGGGTCTGCAGCCATTCGGGCACTTCAAGGGTCAAAGAAACATGGACAAGGGGGATGCACAAAGCATTTCCATCGCAGAGGAGCTCCCAGCTAAACACAAATCCCTGCTGGATTCTGCTGCAGCTCCAGGCAGGTGCTGACAGGAGCTTGTGTGAGGGAGCAGAGCCCAGGGACCCTCTCTCCTGCATGAGCTTCATATCCAAACACTTGGATTCCTTGAAGCCCTTGAAGACAAAGAGAACTAGAAGTCGTGCCAGCCCTGCAGGAACACGCTGGACTTCCTTTATCCTTCCTCCAAGCTCAATAAAGCTCCTCGGCAGAGGAAGCCGTGTTGGCTCCCCCCACACGACAGTTCTGCTGAATTTAAAGGTCGCGGAGTGCCTGCTGAGAAAACGTGGCTAATAAAAGGCACAGAAACAAGTGCAGTGCCAACAGATTAAATTCCCCTTGTAAGACACCGAGCAGAGGGTTCAGAGCCCTGGAAAGGTCACTCAGTGCGGGGCTCCTTTAAAGACACACAGGGACAGTCTGGGAAAAGCAGCTGGGAAGAGATGAATAAAATCCCACAGCGTGTCCTGGGAAGCCCCAAACGTCAGAGGAGGGGAGGCCTGGGGTGTGTGGGGCACAGTGTGGTCCTGGCCTGGCTCCTGCTGGCCCCAGGTGAGGACTCTGGACCCGGCTCAATGCTCAATCCCAACCCACCATAGTCCTGCGGCCAAATTTTAATCCTGGAACGGTTGCTGAGACAAAGCAAGTGGGACACTCTGTGACACTGGGGCTAAACAGGGACCTACAGGGACGTTCTTGCTGTTTCTGGGGCAGCACGGGAGGGTGCAGGGCCAGGAGGGAACGGGCAGTGCCCTGTTCTGAGCACTCAGCAAGTCCAGCAGGCACCAACCCAGCCACAGTGATGCACTGGAGCCACGGAACAAGGAGAGCATCTCCCACCTCCTCTCCATGTTTATTGTGATTTTAAAGGAACACCGCTAGTCAGAGACCCCTTGGCTCTGGGACTTGAATGGGGGAGAGCAGGGAGCCCTGCAGCATTCCAGCCCAGGCAGGATCAGTGACTGCTGGGCACTCTGGCCTGAGCAAACACCACCAGCTGCAGAGGAGCAGAGGGACATGTGGCACCAGTCTGGACAAGGGGCAAATTTCACAGGCTCAGTGTGAGGCCCAAGACCTCTGTCCTGTCCTGGGATGTTGGACATGTCCATGTACCTCTTGTGGATCACATGCCTATTCCTGCCCCTGTGCCAGAGGGCAGCTTGCAGCATCTCCACATGAGGGAGTGTGAGACCTCCTTCCTCAGCTCCTGACAGCCACACATGGAAGCACAGAGCAGTCTAAAGCACGGGCTGAAGCGAGCCAGAGGAAGGCAAAGTGTGGCTGTGGAGGAATTACTGAACATCAACATGACTCAGGTGCCTGGTGCTGAGCCACCTGCCTGATGTGAGGGTACAAGGCAGGGGTCACACCAGCTGCTCACACAGACTCAGGGGCAGTTGGTCCCTGGAAGTGCCAAGCCCCAGATGTCAAACTGAGACAAGGGAGAGAAGTCAGCAGGCATGGAATTAGCATAGGCAAGCCTGTGACAACAGGGGAGCTCCCCAGAGCTGGGGCCAAGTCTGATGGAGAGAGCAAAAGCTCTAAACAAACAAGCTCCAGAGGGTCCCTGGGTCAGCAGGAGCAGCTGGGGGAAAGCAGCACATGGCTGGGTGGCAAGGAATGCCATTGGCTGTGCTGGTGCTCCTTACAAAGATCCTCGGTGCCTTTGGAAGTCCTGAGAGCTCCACTCACCAGGTGGAGCCTGGCAGGGGACTGTGCTCTCTCCACCAGACAGGGAATGCAAAAGCAGCAGCAGGTAGGGAAGAGCTGGTGTCACCCAGAGTGGCCCATGGGGCTAAGAGGGAGGACTTGGGACACTGTTTTCCCTGGCAGGCAGTGCCCAGCCCTCATCTGTCATGATGGCCCGGCAGAGTCCTTCCCAGAGCTGAATTCACTGTGAGGAAGTGAAGGATGAAGATGCTCAGCCCTGCTCAGGGCAAACCTTAGCAGCAGCAATTAAACGAGCTCTTCAAAGAGAGGAAGAGGTCAGCAGGTACCTCTGTGCCAGGCTCAGTGTTCAGGGCAGTGTCTGGGGCTGGGGAAGGGAACCTCTGCTCTTCCAGCAGTCAGCAAAGGCTCCCAGGAGACCCGGACTCCTTCTGAGGCTGTGGCAGCAGATCAGGTCGGTGTGGGCAGGAGCTCTCAGCACATCCCAGCAGGACCTGTGCTCTGCAGGCAGAGCCCCTTACATGTGCTCGGGGTGGTTCTGGAGACACGCAATGAAGTCAGTGACAGGTTTGCCCTCGTAGCAGATCCGATACACAGCAGTGAAGAGGGGGAACCTGTGGGCAGACAAAGCAAGTCACCACAGATGGCAGAGTCAGAGCACCTCGACTTCTGTCACGGCATGCAGGAGCAGGTGGGCCAATGGCACTGTGCCCCATCCAACAGGCCACTCCTGCCCAGCTGCTGGGGGCTTTCCCCTCCTGCTGCTCCTGAAAAGGTCCCAGCCCCACCCCAACGAAGCACACAGATTCCAGCACTCACTTCTCCACTGCATTCTTGCTCTTGAGGATTCGATGCAGCTCAGCAGATGTCTGGGGACCCTGCAGCTTCTGCCCATTCAGCATCTCCTTCTCCAGCTGCTCGATGGACTGAAACAACCCAGCAGTGAGGAGCTGGACCTGCAGCCCTGCTGCTGCACCACGCTCCTGCCCTGGAGCTGGGCTGCAGCACTAGCCAAGCACAGACAGATCCCACAGTGCTCAGGGGGATCACCTCCCTGCCTGCTCACCAGGCTGATGCAGGAATCATAGATTCATGGAATATCCTGAGCTGGAAGGGACCCACAAGGATCATCCAGTTGAACTCCTGGCCCCCCACAGACACCCCAACAATCCCACCCTGTGCCTGAGAGCGTTGTCCAAACACCCCTTGAGCTCTGGCAGCCTTGGGGAACCTGTTCAGTGCCCGACCACCCTCTGGGTGAAGAACCTTTTCCAGCTAGCCCACCCAAACCTCCCCTGACCCAGCTTTATCCACACACGTATCAGTGTCAGCCTCTTCCAGCTCTGCTCACCTTGCCAGTTTTGGCAAAAGCCTCGGCGACCTTGCGGTTGCGGCCCCCATAGCAGGTGGTGATGAGGTCGGCCACGCCGCAGCTCTCCAGGAAGGTGGAGGAGGTGACAGGGCCCTTACAGAAGAGCTTGGCAAAGCCAATCATCTCCATCAGGCCCAGGCGGATCACGGCAGCCTTTGTGTTGTCACCGTAGCCAAGCCCATCACAGAAACCAGCTCCTACAGCCACCACGTTCTGGAAAACAGTGGCAATGTGGAGGGATCTCTTCCCAACAGAGCTTGGGGCTGGGCTGTATCTGTGAGCAGCCTGTGTGATCCCAAGCACTGGCTGCTGTCTGTGCCAGTGCCCATCAGCCCTCCTCCCCCGAGCTCCCTGCAGAGCCCCAGGCTCTGCTCACCTTGAGAGCCCCACAGATCTCTACAGTGTCAGCTTCCTGCACCACCGACACACGGAAGTTGGGGGTCTGCATCAGGTCCTTCAGCATCTGCCCGTGCTTCATGTTCTTGCAGCCTGAGGAGACAAAGGGACGAGGAAGAAGATGATGGGGAAACCCACGAGGTAGGTGCATGCTCTCCTGAAGGTCATCCAGTGAGAGGAACCTATTGCCCAACCAATGTTGCAAAACAGTTGCAGGTCCACACAGAGTCAGGCACACACTGCCTGACAGATAAGCAGTGTTCAACTTTGACATTCCCAGAAGACAGGGGACAATCCATGCTGCTGTGTCACGCAAGACAGAAGTGACTTTCTGAATGCTCAGTAGGTTCAAGGCATCTTCAAAGGTTGCAAACTTGGGGTTGCAGCTCTCTGTCCTGGTTGTCCCTGCACGGTCCTGTGGTGGGCTCTGCTCCACCTCCCCAGCCTCCTGCCCAGTGTGTTTGCTGTTGTTTAGTAAAACAGACACTTTGAATGCCACAACTTCTGACCCAGCAAACGGTTCTGTTTGTTTTGGCTCTGTGCACAGTCCCCAACAGTGTGGAGGGTGTTGGAACTGTCACTAGATGAACTTCCAAGCAGCCCTGGCTGGCAATAACATGAGATCCAGGTGGGCATCCTGTGATGCCCAAGGAAATCAAGGATGGAAATTATTTCTAAAGGGCCTTTTGTTGCCCACCCCTTTAATTTGTGCCAGGCAGCCACCTGATGCTGGCTCCATGCTGGCAGGAACTTTTAGCTGCACAACTCCATTGTTAATGAAGCAAGTGATCCCATCACAAGCCCTGGGAATGAGCTCAGCCAGCTCCTATGGAGTCTCCTGTCTTCCCAGGGAACAGGGCCAGTTCACCCAAGGCAGCAGGAGTTTGAGCTGCACCATACTCTGCCCTTTGCCTCTTCCTGCTAATCACAAATGAAAGCTGCTAACGAGGAGGGCTCTTGGCTCCTTACCGATGGTGGTTTCACAGAACTTCTCTTCTGCCACTTCACTGGCAATATTGGCCCCCATAAGCACGTTCATTTCTATTCCCAGTTTCTCATGGATGATGTCTGAGATCAGTCTCAGCCCATCTGGTCCTTCATCCACGCCCTGGGGGACAGCCAGGGACAGAATCACAGCATCAATTACACTGGAATAGATCTCTAAGGACATTGAGTCCAACCTTTGACTGAACACTGCCTTGCCAACCACACAATGAGCACCTGCCCCTCCTGGACACCTGCCCTGCACCCCAATCCTGCCATTGCCGACTGATCCTGACGTGCAGAGCAGTGCCCTGCTCCTCTCAACACCTGAGATCCCCCATGTGCCCTCACCCTTCTCCACCAACACCTCCAAATTCCCATGAAGCTCTGCCCCCATTTCCTTTCTTCCCCCCACTGCCCATTTCTGTTCCAAAATCCCTGGATTCCCTTGGCAGCCTCTCCAAGCCAGGCTGCTTCCAGCTCCCCTGGCTTGGCCCCGCACCCTGGCGAGCCCTGCTCCTGCTCACACCTTGATGAGTGACATCCCAATGGCCTCTTTCTTCACGTGGCCCTTGAGCTGGTCACAGACTTTGCCGATGAACTGGTGGGGCACCACGAACAGGAGGACATCAGCCCCTGCACAGGCTTTGAGCAGGTCTGGCTCTGCCACCTGAACAGAGTGTGACTGTTGTTAGGGACTGGGAAGATGGATGGCAAGGAAGGGCCCAAAGTCACCATGCCAGCAGAGGGGCTGGTGGGATGATGCCAGAGCAGAGGGGGATGATGCCAGCTCAGAGGCAGCCACATGGCCTCCAGCCCAGCCTGTGGGATGCCAGAGCAGGGTCAAGGGTGGGCAGTGAGAGCAGCCAGGGCTGCAGCTCATCCAAGCACAGATGAAGGTCAGTGGGAGGGCATAACTGAGCCCCACACAGCCCGGTGCATCCCCTGCCTTCGCACCCCAGAGCTGCTGGCCTCTGTCCAAAGCCCAGCCATCAGCTCTGCCCCTCGGAGAGACTGCTGGCAGCCCACACTCACCACGTTGGGGGGCAGCTTGTGCCCCGGCAGGTACTTGACATTCTCGTGCTCCGTGTTGATGATGTCCGTGAGCCGCCGGCCGCCCACCTCCTCCTCCAGCACCCACATGTTCACCTGGCTCTCGAAGCTGCTCAGCCGAGCTGTGTTGCTGCCGGCGATCTTGGCGATGGCCGAGCCCCTGCGAGGGCAGAGGGAGGCCGTGGCTGTGGGCACTGGGGAGCCCAGGGCACCACAGGTCACGCTGCAGGAATGGGGACGGCTGGCACCGGCTGGCGAGGGGGGACAGGGCAGGACAGGGACCGCGCCGTGCTCGCCGAGGGGAGCCGGGTGCCAGGCGCTCACCAGTTGCCAGAGCCCACGATGCAAACCTTCTTGCCACCCATGGTGCCGGGAGCGGGGCAGTGCGGGCTTGGGACCCGCCGCTGCTATTTCAAGGCTGCCCGAAGCGGGGGCGGCCCCGGCCCGCCCCCGGCCCCGCCTCGCCCCGGGGCACCGGGCACCCGCTCCGCGCGTGGCAGGTGCAAAGCGCTGCCTGGAGCAGCTCAGATCCCCCGGAACCGGGAGTCATGGACTCACGGAATCATGCAATACCCTGAGCTGGAAGGGACCCTCAAAGATCGGCGAGTCCAAGCCCTGAGCAGGACAGCTCAACAATCCCACGCTGTGCCTGACAGCGTTGTGCAAACGCCCCTTGAGCTCTGGCAGGGTCAGGGTTGTGACCATCGCCTGGGGAGCCTGTTCAGTGCCTGAGCACTCTGGGGAAAAACATCCTTTTCCTAATATCCATCCCAACCCCCCCGACACAGCTCCAGCCGTTCCCCGGGGTCCTGACACTGTCCCAGAGAGCAGGGATCAGAGCTGCCCCTCGTGAGGAAGCTGCAGAGCCCTTGGCAGAGCACTTGCCAAACTGACTCGTCACTGCTGAGCCTTTCTGCATAAAAGCTTTTCATTGTCCCTCTCTTGCTAAAAGTGCCATTTCCCACCTGGTGCAGCCCCAAGACTCAGCTCCTGCCCCCACCACAGCCAGCAGCAGTTTCCCCTTCACACAGAGGATGCTTCCCTTGCCCCAGGGGCTCCCAGGTCTGCAACAAAGCAATTAGGCTCCATAAACAAGGAGAGTGAAGAGAGTAATTCCCCTTCTGCATAATTTTAAATCCTTGCATGTAAATTGTACTTCAATTTCCCTCAAATTCTGCCCTGCTCCCTTGGGACATCCAACAGGCTGCCACAATCCAGCCAAGTGGACACGAGGCAATTCAGGATTTATTAGCACTGGCCACTGGATTTCCAGTTTTGCTCAAGTTACTTTGTTTACCACAAAAGCACTTTGCAAAGGCTTAGCAGAGTCTGCAAGCTGGGAGATCCCTCCATGAAGGGCTCGCTATAAAAGGCCAAAATATGAAAAACATTTTCTCTCCAGTCACTTAACCCTGCTGGCTTTGAAAAGAAAGCAGAGATAATCGTGTCCCTTCCCTGGGAGTCACCAGGCTCATCCCCCATGGCAGCTGGGAGAGTGCGAGCTGTCAGCATGGAAGGAGGAGGACAGCTTCCTTCACAGGAGTCTTTTATTAAAACTGGGTGACGTCTACAAGGATACAGTACAAAAAAAAAATTTGGTCCATGGAAAAAACCGTAATACTCAAGTTAAGAAAAGCAGTTACTCTGCAACAGCTACGTTTGCCTATGTAGGACTCAGCATCCCTCCTGTGGGAGTACCCTGAGGAGTCAGGGGCTGCTTCTCCAGCACCAAGACCTTCACCCCAGTACCACGGAGGAGCATTTCAGAAGGGCAAAGGAGAGGGGAAGTCGAGAGTCTATTACTCAGACATGTAGTAACACAGACACAAGGAGTAGTAGGGCCACCCAGGTGCTCCAACTCACAGCAGCCTCCCCAGCCACACTGAACTGGGTGAGTGCTCATCAGTAACATGATCCTGCAGCTATTCCAAGAGTCAGACCAACTTCTGAGTCTATTTGCATTACAGTCCCGAGCACAAACACTGGGGTTGGAGTGAAGAGGAGCTATTTCATTCTCCTAAGCCTGACCACCAGTACCTCATTCCAGGAGGAGGCATCGGGGCTGCCACTCCTCACAGTGGAGAAAATCTATTTGTACATTCCTGAACCATGCTGGCCCCTATGGCAGCCCCACAGCCTAAAACTAGACTAAAAACCACAGGAGCTTCAGCATGGAAACACCTGCTAACTCACATATGCTTGGAAAAATGTCCATTTCCAAGGACTGTGCTGTCCTTGGACCCTTGGACCCACACGAAGGAGCCTCTGGTCCCCACAGCAAGTGACACAGGACATCTGTCCTGAAGGAATGAGCCTACAGCACTGTCCCTGCAGAATTCCAGGCAGCTGCTCCATCTCCTCTCCCTGCTCCAGGGAACACAAGCAGCCTCGTGGTTTGCTGGAACCCATTTGGAGGTGTTTGAAGTGCTGCATCACTCCAACGCTTCCACATCCCTGCAGGAAGCCAAGGCCCTGTCTCCCTGTGATCCCAGCCTATGACAGTCTGTCGTGGAACACGAAGGGAATGGGGCAGGTGAGAAGGGAGAAGGGAAGAAGCAATTCTCTATACAGTTCAGTAACTTCCTCAAGGAGGAGAGTGACCTATGAGGCAGCCCAGTGCAGCAGCACCCTCTGAGGAGGGGGTGAGGGCAGGGAGGTATGTCAGCTCATGGCATCCTGCCCATGACAGCGCCTGGCACGGGCTGTAAAACGTGGCAGGGAAGAGCCCAGCCACACCTTAAAGCAGAGCCAGGCTTCAGAGCCAGCTCTGAGTGCCCAACCAGATGCTGGCTGGGGAGGACTGGGCTGAGAGAAGGCTCTGAGTCACTCTGGCTACCGGGGACACTACGGGCAGTGCAGAGTCACGGGGACGCTCATGGAAGCCTTGGGACTGACAAGGCAACAGTCAGGAAGAAAACCAGGTAGAAATGTGTGCTCATTGGAGCCTGTCTGCTTGCCCCAGGTGTCCTGGACTTGCCCCTGCAGGGACAATGCCAGGATGAATAACGTGGGCCTCGCTGCCGGAGTGGGATTCGGTGAGCTGGAACAGTGAGCTCTGCAGCTCTGTCTGCACAAACAGCTGTGATGCTTCTGCCTGGGGAGGAGCAGAGCAGCCTATGTGTTCCGGATGCCCAGGGCCTGCTCCAGTTCCTGCCGTCTCTGCTGCACCTGCAAGAGGAGCAGAGTTGCAGCATTAACACCCTCGGGGGGTGCAGCACCAGAGCACCCAGTCAACACAGCAGCCAGCTGGGAAAGGGCGAGCTCAAACTGGGACCAAGATGCAACCACCACCTTCCCCCAGCACTGTGTGCCCCAGGAATGCCAGGCATGGAGAGGGATCCCTGCCTGGGGACACTCACCTTGGAGTAGAAGTATCGGCACACGGCTTCCTGCGCCCACGGCTGGAAGTAGAACTCGGCTCTGCGCTCCTCCTCGGGATTCCCAACGACATCAGTCATTGTCTGGGAGCACAAAGGCACAACAGCTCAGCGAGTGCAAAAGCTCTGGCTGTGCTGAGCAAACCCACCCCCTTCCCTTTCCTCACACACATCTCAGTGCGCTCAGGTCAGCTTCTTATGCTTGACTCAAATCCCAGCCTCGCTTTCCAAGGAGGAAATTGCCTCCTTCTCTCTGTGGGAGCTCATTCTAATGAGGGAAGCGTGTGACTGGAGCACCTTCCACACAAGACAAAGCTTCTACCTTCAAATCCCGGCACTGGGACTGGAGCCAGTCGTTGATGAAGCCCTGAGGATCTCGGGCAAAGCTCAGCATGAACTCGCGCTGTGTCTTCAGCTGGTTGATGGTCTCAATTGTTTCATGGATCTGAAGGAGACAAACACAGAATGGAACTGCTCAACAGGGGAGAAGTCAGAAACATCAAGGGATCCAACACATGAAGGCAAATTCTTACACTCTCTAGTTAACTTACACTTACCAGGATGTTCAGCTCCTAGTTTCCTGCTCTCTAAATATTACCCATTTTCCCATAGACTGGTTGCTTTAAAAATTACATTTCCAGGTACAGCCATGTTTGTAAACATGGCTCATCCCACTGCAGCTTCCAAACAACAGAGCACTCCTATCCTGTGTCCAGAGACACATCCCTGCCCAGCAACAAGGAGAGCAGACCTGAAGGAGCTTCTCCTACCTTGTTATCCAGAGCAGCAATTTCCTGTTGACTGGCTGTGGAGAGCAGAAAGGAATTCATCTGAGTTTTCAGGGTATCGTCCACCTCCACGTCAATGTCATAGCAGGCTGTTTTCTTCTGGTCATTTGGGTCGACACTGGGGACATCCACAAGAAGCTAAAATCAGGGAGCAGCTCCAGAAAGAAGGCAAAATCTGGGACCAGTTCAAGAAAGCAACAAATGCAGCTCCTCTGGGATGCTGCAGCAAACGGACTGCAGGCAGGGACAGGGACAAGCCATGCCACTGTCAGCCTCAGCCCCAAAAGCAGCAAAAGAAAAGAATGATTGCTCCAAGAACGTTTCTATCCACAGCAAAGGACAGCAGGGATGTGGGAGTGCCTTTGGAAGAGGGATGTGGTAATGGGAGAGGCGGCTGCTCTTGTACAAAAGAACAATGACAGGCAACATGGGAACTGCTGCTGGAAATCAGGACACAGCACGTTGTCCTCCCGTGCCAGCCTCATCCACCCCTCCCTCTCTCCCTCCCACTCCTTCCTGGAAACAGGAACTGACGTGGAGCAGCCTCACCTGATCACATGATTGATGATGATCGGTTCGGGGGGCATCAGCAAGGCATGAAGCCTTTGTGGGATCTCAGAGAACTTCATCCGCTGCGACTCAAAGATCTGTGACAGAGACAGGGCTGAGGGAGGAGCAGGGGCTGGGTGCAGCCACCCCGGCTGCCCCACTGGAAACTGATCCAGGTGCTGCTGTTCCAGCCCTGCCACCGCTCACCTGCTGCAGGTACTTGTCACAGATGACAAACTCCCGCTCGTGGGGGTCCTGCAGCTTGTGGGTCTTGATGTACTGCCACAGGGCCTGGATGATCACGGGCCGGGTCTGCGTGTGGATGCCCAGCAGCCGAGCCAGCCGCGGGTCCAGTTTGAACTGGGGAGGCTGAACGGAGGGCACGGAGAGGTGAGGCAGCCCCAGACACAGGTCATGGTGCATGCCCAGCACTGCTGCTCCCAGCATGCAATCATGGAATGGTTTGGGCTGGGAAGGACCTTAAAGAAATCTCATTCCACCCACCACAGGCAGGGGCACCTTTCACTATGCCAGGTTGTTCCAAGCTCTGTGGCCTTGGACACTTCCAGGGATCCAGGGGCAGCTCCAGCTTCCCTGAGCAGTTATGCCAGGGCCTCTCCACCCCTACAGGGAGGAATTTTTCCCTACTATGCTACCTGGTAATCCAGCATCAGCAGGACGGTGCAGCGCACGTTCACATCCCCCGGCCTCTTCACCTGGAAGCCATCTGTCTCCTGAGTCGTAGCAGTCCTGTGCCACTGGAACACAAGAGGGATTTCAGAAGCCACACCCAAACATGATTCCCCCTGCTCCTGCTGCTGGCCACCCAAAAGCTTTGCCAGTAAATCCCACCCAGCTAGAGAAATCTCCAATTCTTCCCACTCAGAGTCTGAAACAAGAGTCAATACATTTATTCCAACCTTCAGCAAGTGAGAGGAAAAGCCAAAGTGAGAATTCAAGAGCTCCTGGCTCCCAGAAGCCTCAAGGATTCCCACCTCCCAAGTATAAATGACACACAAACCCCACCTGCTAAAACACCAACCCACTTTTAGAGGAAACACAGCAAAAAGCAGCTCACCTCTACTAGGTGATTGTCAGGGCCATACAGGTCTTTATCAAGTTCAATGACCAGAGATTTAAAGAAGGACGAAAATTTCCTTTTCTGCTTGGTGGCATCATATTTGGACAGAGCAGACTGCAAGCAACACAGGGAGGA